GATGAGTGGACTTGCTGGCTGGGGAATTCTGGGAGTTGAAGTCCACTCATCTTAAAGTGGCCAAGTTTGGACAACACTGGGCAGGGACTTGCCTTATGATGACCATTTATTTAATTAGCAAACATGATGAGCTTCTAATCTCCTCTACCTTTTTGTCATAGTCCAAGTCCCACATGTCATTTATTATACAGCCTGCTCCACGCATCAGAACTGAGCCAACCCCAAAAAGTAGCAGCATGTCCCAGGATGGCCAACAACCCGGTTCTGCTGCCAACGCTATACTCCAAGTGCAGGGCAGATACAGCAGCCAAATCCCTGAAAATAAAAAGCCAGACAGGGAACAGAAAAGGAGAGATGCAGAATTTATACATATACATGCAAACCATCAGTTCCTTAGTTTGATTCTTAAGCTAGTTTCATTCTTCAATATTCTTTTCACCCCGTGTTCTTTCTTTCTTTCTTTTTTAATTTGGCATTTTTACTACCAAGAAAAGTCTCACTGTGAAACACAATGGGGTGGATGCTTTATTTGAGAAGACCAACATACGCCAAGAGAAAATGCCACCTGGTCCAGAAAAACTGTTCAAGGTTTATGAGCCCTTAACTTGACAATTATTTGTGTTAGTGTTTCACTCCCTCTAGAGGCCAAATTAAAGTCATACAAATTCAGGAATAAGCCATACAAGAAATACAATACCCAGACAAATGAAAGAAATAAGAAAAGCAAAACATTAGGAAAGAGATATCTTCAATATCAAAAGCTTTGTCTCCTCTCCGGTTGCAAGAGGTTAATGCTCCCCTACTTGATTCCTTTATGTTTTCAGAAATATTACATAATTACACATAACAGACATACCGCAACCCCCGCAAAATGAAATAAAAACCATCAGAGAAAGCAACAGTATTTTCCATCACATTTCTATTGCTTCCAGATCTTCTCAGACTAACAGCACACTTCTGAGCTTTATAGTCTCTAAAATTTAAGAACAAGCCTGCATTTCTCTTGGTTTAATGATTTTAAAGCCAGGGTAGTGCCCTAAAGTTGTTTTCCACTGAGAAGTTCAGCCATTGTCGTTAATACTAAGGGATTATGAGACTATTGGTCTCTATGCTCCTTGTCTCAAATATGTTATGGGTAGTCCTCGCTTAATGACCACAATAGGGACCAGAATTTAGGTCACTAAGTGATATGGTCATTATGTGAATCATCACGTGACTGGACCCGATTTTATGATCTTTTTGCGGCAGTCATTAAGCGAATCACGCAGTTCCCCATTGATTCTACTTGCCGGAAACCAGCTGGGAAAGTCGCAAATAGCAATCACGTGACCCTGGGACACCCATTGTAAATGCGAACTGGTTGCCAAATGCCTGAATTCTGATCACATGACCGCAGGGACACTGTGATGGTTGTAACTCTGGGCACTGGTCTAAGTCACTTTTTAGCACTGTCGTAACTTTGAACAGTTGCTAAACAAACATCATTAAGCAAGAACTACCTGTATTTTGAAGCAAGGTCCACTGAATTCATATCATCCCAATCCAGGGCTTTTCATGAACACTATGTTCATGTGCAGCTCCTTCCCTGACCAGGTACCTCCATTTCTTGCAATGGAGAAGAATTTAAGAATATGATAACATAAACAGTGGACTGCTGGCCCATCTAGTCCAACACAAGACCCCTGGCTCACCTAGTCCAGCACAAGGGAGCCCCCTAATCACACACTATCAAGGCTAATAGCCATTGATCATCCTTCTTAAATGCATCCCTGTTCTGAATCCCTGTTTCCATAATTAAGTATGGGGAAGATGTTAAAAGCTTCCCATTAGCCCAGATGGAAAAGTCACATGTATAAAATTGCTTGACTGAAGAGGGTGTTTATAGGACCAGCCTTTTGATTGTGAGATGAAGGCCTTTAAGCTGACTTTAAAACATTCATGTACGGTTTGGAGCCAAGAAGGTTTTCCAAGCTAAGTTGACTAGGAATGGATGGACCATTCTATGTTACATCACATTAGCAGGTTTTCAATGTGCATTTTGGTTTCATTCCATTTTGGAACTAAACCATAACTTTTTAAAAAGCCTCTGAGAGTAACTTGTTTAATGTTATTTCTTTCAGCATACATATTTCAGTATGTATTTCGAGATGAGCTGTTGAGAACTTTACTGTCACTTTTGGAACAGTGTGAAATCCAGTAGATATTTAATTTCCAACTTGTACAAGACATGTGCAATTTCTAATTACTACACTGAAAAGACAGTCATTTCACACAGCACCCACTTTTGCAATTTACAAAGGCAACATTCTTCCTACATCTGGATTTCCATCTGCAACACGGCCCGGCCCACCATATTCTACTTAGTTTTCAAAACATTCCTGTAGATTGCTTACTGGCCCAGGTACTAACACAACAGGAATACACCAATAAGGATAGTTCATATTGCTGCTGTACTTCTAGAAATCAAGATTAATTGCTTATTGATTCATTGTGGGAAGGGGGCAACAGAAATTCCAGCCATCTGCCGTCTGTGCAAAGGCCAGCCCTGATGCTTTCCAAAAGGTTCAGAAGGAAAGTGTTAGCTACAGCTGCAAAATTCAAACTCTAAATAGCAAAGGATTAAAACTTTTTGTGTATCTCATTGGGGACATCTAACGGTCTCATTTAATTTGACAGCGGCACATTAAGCAAAAAAGTTAATCCGTAAAGGGAATTCACTCCCAATGTAATTTTTGTACATTTACACAATTTCACACTATGCCTGGTCAGATGGTTTGCTTAATCTCACTTCACTGAATAAACCAAACTGGGTTGGGAACTGCGGCAAGATAATGGTATGCAGAAAGATAGAAGAATAATGAAATACCCACAGTAGAAGACTGGATTATAAAATTGATGGAGCTTGCGGGAACGGTAAAGGTAACTTTGGTCAGGGAAAAAACCATACAGGCTTTTTAAAAAGACTGGAGACTTATATCAACTTTTTGTTAAAGGAAGAAAAGACCAAATGAACTGATGATTTATAGATGTGGGGATTATAAAGGGTTAAAAATTAAGATGGCAGTTAGTTACTCATGGAAAGAAGGGCCCTAATTCTATGTTTTCCTTCTTTCTTTCTTTTTTTTCCCCTATCTTTTTTCTCTTTAATTTTTTACGCTTTCACTGTCTTGAAAAATCCGAATAAAAATATTTTAAAAAATAAACGAACCACGCCGGGTTCACGCGATACGCCGTACTAAGCCCCAAGTAAGCGGAGCGTCCGTGCCCCGTGCCCAGAAGCCCCCTCCAATCGGGTTTACTCCAGAGTAACCGTCCGCCAGCGGTTGCTTTCACTTCCTCCCCGGCCGGCAAAGCAAAACGGAGGAGGAGGAGGAGGAGGA